GTACCGGACGAATTTGGGACCGGACGAAAATTCGTCCTTTTTCGCCTTTTTACACGCGAATTCGTCCTGTTAGGGGGTCTCAAATTCGTCCGGTTCCGTGGTTCTCGTGTGTTTACACGGCCGAAACGGACGAATTTTCGTCCGGTCACAAATTCGTCCGGTACCGTGTAAACGGAGTCTAAAAGGCATTTAAACTGTTATGTGCTTTGATCAAATTAAAATCTACTTTAACTTTGATCAGAGAAACTTTTTGATGTGTTTCTATTAAGTTTTAAGTGAGCACAAGTTGTCCATGAGCAGACAGTCAAAGACAGTAAAGCACTGCCACAGCCAAGTAGATTATCACTCTGACAAGTGACAATAACAGGTCTATATAAACCGCCATCCAAAAGTCCCAAACATGTTCACTCCAAATTGTTCATTATTTTTTCATCGACAACTCACTAGTCTCGAGTTCATATCTTTAGGCCTTTATAATTATATTATGGGTTTCAGTTTGTAAACAAAATAGATAAACAGTTCGTATATATTAACGATAGTGAAATAGTGTAATAAAGAATTTTATAGTCATTAAAACCTCGATTGATAGGCTTCAACAAGCGATTTCTCTTAAGGATCAACATTGCAGCTATGTTTGGAGCAATCTCCAATCCTTCTAGGATTCTTTTCTTGACAACCTTTGGTATAAGCTTGAGGATGCAGGTATATCATGGCCAGTCATGGGCAGACGCAGAAATGGAATGCGCTCTCCATCGAGGAAAACAATAAAATAGATACACTTTGATGCACTTTCGAAGCATCCCTGTTAGGGTAGTATCCTTTCCTACTCGTCATGTTGCCTCAATAACTCGTTATTTGATGGACTGTCGCTCAAAAAAGCTCAAAATATTGTGGAAACTTCTTCGCTCCTTGGGCATTAAATTCAATTGCGATAAAAACAACGCGCGTGTTATTGCCAGAAATAAGACTGGACCGAGCACAAACAGAGGATGACAACTTCCTGTGTGTCCCCACATAAACAAAAGTCCAACACATGCGCAGATGCGACTGTAACCTACCTTTAAATACTTACTTGAGGTACAGTATGTTCAAGTAAACGAAAGATAAGTATTTTAAAATAAATTTCCAACTGTTAAAGATGCCCAAATTGAAACTGCTGCAAATAATTTTACCAAATTTTACAAATTTTCCCGCGAAATCTGAGCTATTTTATTGCGAAATCAACCTCACTGAGCCCACAAATACACCTTGTCAGTCACATAGATATAGGAGACCTAGATTGCTGACTCGGCTGAAGAGGCGCGCTAAATTTGAAAATCCAAGATGGCGGCTCAACCGGAGATAGAGCGAGATAGGGAAAAACCATGTTTTTTGCATTTTATGTCGTCCTACTGTTTCCGATCCCGTTGAACCACCTTTTTTTTGGAAGAGCTAACTGGTGTGAAAGTTTTGGATGTATATTTGTTATAATTAGTACGATTTACAGTTTAAAATTCAACCGGGCAAGAATGGGCAAAGACGAAAATGGCACGAAACTGCCGGCCTGGTTTCTTTTCCTGTGTATTCCTTGAGTCTTTTACCAGTTTTTCTACAGTAATGTAACGTATATCTGACTATTCCAAAAGTTACTATTATTTATTTTGTTCTTTCATTGTTATTTCGACCAAAATACAGTATTTTCATCTGAAAATTCTAGGGCATTCTATTCTAAAAAAATCTGTTTTCTATTGAAAAGAATGCCTTGAATCTCGGCCTGTTTTGTGTGCTGAGTGTAACTGCAAGGCCAGACGTGGGGATTTAAAAGATGGTATTCGCTTGTCTAGCTTCCATAAGTAAGTCTAAGTATGAAACACACATCGTATATTTGTACACTTTAAACAAGACTATTAATTAAAATAAGACAGCTCTTAATAGCATAAAAACAATTTGTTTTGTAAATACAATAATGACACCAAATGTAGTTTTGAGCTTGTTGCCTACAATATAAAACTGTTTACAGTTTTAGTAAAAGAATATTAGACCAAAAGAACTTCTTGTTTTGGTGTCTGTGTTAGGAGTCTATATATATATTATATGCATGTTGACAATAACTTTCATAGAGGTCCTTGCCTGTTGAAGGTTAAAAAAATTGAGTTTTGTTCACATCAGTGAACCAAAAATACTTATTTCCC